GGAGAATCTCATATATACTTTCATTGTCTTTGTTCTCTTTTACCACCTCATTATTCTCAGACACAGCATTTTCAACTTGTTCAGGATCTCGTTCATGAACTTGCTGATTTAAAACACTAACATCCTCACCAACAATATCATCCTTTCCTTCCAAATCTTGTTCATCTTGAGTGCTCGATATAGACTCATGATACTCACGTCTAGCTTTCCTTCTCAAGTATCTCCTGTGAGTACTCCGACTGACAGCCGGCATCCAATCACCAGCATTGTCATCAAACTCGCCCTGCGACGCATCGACTCCATCAGCCACCATTGTTTTCCCCTCAATTTTTATCTCCTTTTTCTTAGGCGTGAATCTCCTAGGCTTCGTAAAACCATCCTCACCGCCGTCCTGAATCCCCGAATCAGCTTCACTCGTCCTCTCCACAGAACCGTCCACAGAGTGATCATCAGGAGAAACAATGTTCAAGTTCAGATCCTGCAAAGGAAGTATTTTCGAATTGGAATTCAAAGAGTCTTCCGCCTGTTCCAACGCCTCCCACTCTTGTAAATTAGGCACGTTAGAACCCCACCCCGGCATGTCCTTCTCTGGCAACCTCTTCACATTCAACGTCTGCACAGGGGGAGGGGCATCCCTGAGATTTTTGGTCCCATGAATCTGAGCCTCCAACGTGTAAGTCAGAGCTATGAGCTTGATATCAACATCAGATAGAGTTTGTAGGTCACCAGTAGCCCTAGCAAATTTGACAACTACAAAAGGAATATTTACATTAAAAGTCCAAATTTCGAACACATAATTTGAAGCAAAAAAAAACAAGAAACATGAAATAGTATAGTAATTAACAAGCAAGCTTTAAAGTCCGAGGTTAGGTAAAATTAAGAATACCTTTATTGATGGATTCCGGGGAGGGTTCCATGGTTTGAATGGAGAAGGGGAGGAAAGAGAGTTTGTGGCGGGAAACGGGGTCACGGATTTCCTCCATAACTTCAGGGATGGAGATGAACTTGTCGGCGAGGCCATGGAGCTTTTCGCCGGATTCGATTATCGCGTTGGCGTCCACAACGGCGACGGCGATGGCATTGGAAGATTCGGTGGTTTCCACCAAAACTGGAACGTTGTGCTGCGGTGGTGGAGGTGGCTGCTTCTTCACCACGTTGCTCCAGCATGAAGCTGTCGCCGGAACTGAAGTTGGAGGTTCCTCCATGCGATGCAGAGAAAGAGAGAGAGGCGCGCGCAAGACAAGGGGTGAGTGTATTTTGATCTCTAAACCCTAGACGCTAAAACAGAGAAAGGGTGTACTGTTTTTATTAAATATTTTAAATTATGTTCCAAATAATACTATAATTAAGTAATTGTTATATTTATAAGAATGTAATTTAACAGTTTGTTTTTTTATATTTAAAACCTTCAACTCTGTTAGTTTATATAAAAAAAGTTATCGTGAATAAATTCTTCAAAAAAATATTGTGAAATAAAAGAAATAATTAATTTTATTAAATGTATTTTTAGTCTTTGCTTCTTATATTTAAAATTAATTTTTAACCCTTATAATTTTAAAATACTTGTTGTGGGCAGATTTTCCTAAATATTATTAAAAATTCTACCTATGTTATAAATCTTTTATATGACAAATTATTTTGATTTTATATTGTAATTATTAAATGTCATATTGTATATTTATTTTCCTTTTTACCATGTCCAATTTGAAAATATTTAAGTATAAAGCATTTGAAAAAAGAAAGGTGGTTAAAACATTTTTTAAATGCATTACTATCAATATTAATTTAAAATTTAAAAGAAAACAAAAAGTGACTAAGAACTAAAAATATATATTAATTTTTAACTTTCTATTTTGTAATGCAAACATGTCATATATACAATCTCAATAAAAAAAAATATTGACATAAATTATAATTATCTTTCCTATGTTTGTAACATAAAAATAAATGTCTTGTTTTATTATAGAGAGCGACAGTGAAGATTAAAGAGTGTGGAGTGCTTCAATATGAAACTTTTTTTAGACCGAAGTTAGTAATTAGGGTGTTGTGAAGGGTGTAATTATTCCATGTAACTTGTTTATGAATAAAGCAAAAGTGATACAAGATAAACTCACTTATACTACTGTATGATTGATAGACAGTTAATTTCATTAACTTTACATGAGAATTAAATATTAAAATTATGCTTTTGTTTGAGTATATTATTGATTAAAATCTATCACAGAATAAATTAGATCATTGAATTATAAAAATCAAATTTTAGGTTCTTCAAAAAATTTATTTTAATAAAAATATAAATAATAATTATTGTAATTATTATTGTATAACATTGTGTATTTAGTTGAATTCTTATTTATTATTGGATTGATGTACATTAAAAAAAAATTTATGAAAATATTAAAGATAGTCCTTTTGGATAGATAATATATAGTATGATTATCTGGTCAATTATCGTCTGAATAGTCAATTACCACATAGGATAAGGTTATTAAGTTTGGATAGTTACTTAATTGACAATATGACTATACATCAGATTGAATGATCAATTAAACCATCTGGATGACGATGTTGAACCTGGACAATCACCTAACAAACTGTATAGTTATACATCAAATCGGTCTAAACATTATCAAATCAGATCAACCTTAAAACTAATTAACTTATGATTAAAACATGATTATTCTAGTTTAGATCGTAGTTACACATTAATTATAACATTCATTGTTATTTATCTAAGTTGATCTGACTTTGATATCAAAATACCTTTTACAAATAACATCCCGTTAGACATAACAATAACTTAGACTTTAAACAATGCAGTGAAGACCTTGACCATATTAATTGCAAAGAACAATGGTGAAAATTGAGGATTATGGAGTGCTCCACTCTTCAATGTCATTAATAAATTCATTATTTTTCAAACTTTTTTAGACCAAAGTTAACGAAGAGGGTGTTGTTACTTATTAAGGAGGTGTAATTCTTTCATATAATTTGTTTAATATAAAATAAAAGTGGTATAATAAGACTTGTTCATACTATCATATCTTGTAGACATGAGCTCTATTAATAATACAATAATTATTATTGTATTACATTTATGTACTTGTTAGTTCTGATTTTTGAGCATTGAATGGTGATATAAAAACTAATTTTGTCATCTGAGACGTGAGAAGATGATATATAGCAGCAAATTAAAAGATATGTATATCATCATTATCTGTATCGTACTATATATACCATTATAGTACTTCCAAAAACAAGAGATAAAGAAAATGAAGAAACATAATAGTTAACAAGAACAGAAAAAAGGAGAAACATGAGACACATATCAGTGCCATCATTCTTCAGTAGCTTCTGCACAAACACCTTCATTAAGTGAAAAACCAAGTGGTCAGACCGGGAACTTGGTATGAGAATAACCAACCTACTTAAGATATATAATAAATGCATGCTACTGATCTTGAACCCACCACTACACATGGCTTTTCAAAGAAGCCAGAAATCCAAGATCGCTAGAAAACTGAACAAGGGTCGAGTACATGGAAGAATGATGCATATGCATGTCATTTTGGATTTGTGATTGCTGTTGAATCCAAGCTATAATAGGCAAAGAAAGATGGCTCCCAAGGTTGCAAAATAGTTGGGAATTAATCCATAACATAGAAGAGATAATAACAATGATGAAGAAGGCCAATTACATGGCTCGTGCTTTAACAAGGTCCAAGCTCATCTCACTTGGATCAGTTGCTTGCATATCGACTTGAATGCCATCCAATTCCCTCTTGAATCTATCCTTAGAACTTGCGTACACCATCTTCATCCTCACCTTTGAGGAATCTGGTGACCTGCACACAAGGATTGATTAAGCTGGTGTTTCAGATTGTCTTAATTTGCAATGATATACATAAGTTGTTTCTTCACAAAATGAACCAAGCAATAGTATACACACTACATTGTAATTTCACATATTGTTCAGCCAGAACTATGAAATCAAAGGCAAATTGTATATAAATTGAGTACCATGCAACGAAGAAGATCTTGCTTTTTTGGCAGTTCTCATTAGTTGTGAAGTCAAAATCATAGACAGCATAACGACATTCATTTGGTGGAAAACAGGCCATAAAGTCCTCATAACTTGCCGTGGGGCCTCCTAATTTCTCAACCACCACTTGCTGTTCTTCGATTTTAAACACAATATACCTGTAACTCCTTTTTGATTTAAGCTCTTGAAACTTCAGTTTGCAATCATCATGCACAGCCATTCCGGACGCTGCATTTGCCTACCCCAAAATTTCATGTCCCGAATTTTAGATTCAATGATTGTTATACATTCTTCATCCTCAAGTGGAAATAAAAAATTGAATTTTGAAAAGCCGTGCAACTTCTATAACTTTCACAGATGAAAAGCTAGGTGGGAAAATGGCTTGCTAGCTATCATCTTTAGGTTACAGTTACAGGGTATGATAACACATCATTTTAACCAAGAGGCAAAAGATTCCATTTTGAACGAAAAACTAAAACTATCAGCTTCTTAGAATCACATCAGACATGAAGAAACACTTGAATTTAATGTGGGTAAATGCAAAATCATCCAAATTCTTTTAAATATGTTACCATAGTGTTGCTCTTTTAAGATGGTGCATCCAAAGGTTATAGTCCATATTTTTTTTTTTNAATTATTATTGTATTACATTTATGTACTTGTTAGTTCTGATTTTTGAGCATTGAATGGTGATATAAAAACTAATTTTGTCATCTGAGACGTGAGAAGATGATATATAGCAGCAAATTAAAAGATATGTATATCATCATTATCTGTATCGTACTATATATACCATTATAGTACTTCCAAAAACAAGAGATAAAGAAAATGAAGAAACATAATAGTTAACAAGAACAGAAAAAAGGAGAAACATGAGACTCATATCAGTGTCATCATTCTTCAGTAGCTTCTGCACAAACACCTTCATCAAGTGAAAAACCAAGTGGTCAGACCGGGAACTTGGTATGAGAATAACCAACCTACTTAAGATATATAATAAATGCATGCTACTGATCTTGAACCCACCACTACACATGGCTTTTCAAAGAAGCCAGAAATCCAAGATCGCTAGAAAACTGAACAAGGGTCGAGTACATGGAAGAATGATGCATATGCATGTCATTTTGGATTTGTGATTGCTGTTGAATCCAAGCTATAATAGGCAAAGAAAGATGGCTCCCAAGGTTGCAAAATAGTTGGGAATTAATCCATAACATAGAAGAGATAATAACAATGATGAAGAAGGCCAATTACATGGCTCGTGCTTTAACAAGGTCCAAGCTCATCTCACTTGGATCAGTTGCTTGCATATCGACTTGAATGCCATCCAATTCCCTCTTGAATCTATCCTTAGAACTTGCGTACACCATCTTCATCCTCACCTTTGAGGAATCTGGTGACCTGCACACAAGGATTGATTAAGCTGGTGTTTCAGATTGTCTTAATTTGCAATGATATACATAAGTTGTTTCTTCACAAAATGAACCAAGCAATAGTATACACACTACATTGTAATTTCACATATTGTTCAGCCAGAACTATGAAATCAAAGGCAAATTGTATATAAATTGAGTACCATGCAACGAAGAAGATCTTGCTTTTTTGGCAGTTCTCATTAGTTGTGAAGTCAAAATCATAGACAGCATAACGACATTCATTTGGTGGAAAACAGGCCATAAAGTCCTCATAACTTGCCGTGGGGCCTCCTAATTTCTCAACCACCACTTGCTGTTCTTCAATTTTAAACACAATATACCTGTAACTCCTTTTTGATTTAAGCTCTTGAAACTTCAGTTTGCAATCATCATGCACAGCCATTCCGGACGCTGCATTTGCCTACCCCAAAATTTCATGTCCCGAATTTTAGATTCAATGATTGTTATACATTCTTCATCCTCAAGTGGAAATAAAAAATTGAATTTTGAAAAGCCGTGCAACTTCTATAACTTTCACAGATGAAAAGCTAGGTGGGAAAATGGCTTGCTAGCTATCATCTTTAGGTTACAGTTACAGGGTATGATAACACATCATTTTAACCAAGAGGCAAAAGATTCCATTTTGAACGAAAAACTAAAACTATCAGCTTCTTAGAATCACATCAGACATGAAGAAACACTTGAATTTAATGTGGGTAAATGCAAAATCATCCAAATTCTTTTAAATATGTTACCATAGTGTTGCTCTTTTAAGATGGTGCATCCAAAGGTTATAGTCCATATTTTTTTTTTTTCCAAAAGATGAAAAGGTAAGAAAATGGAATTTATCTTCAAGATTATCAACAAAACATGGTCAACAAGTGTGCAACATAGAGAAAGAAGGGACAAAGAACGCATACCATTTTGCCAGCAATGAGAAAGAAGCGCCCTGCGAAATGTGAATGAAAGGAAAGTGATTCGAGAAACGGAGATTGGAAAATGAGAACGATAGACCCAATGACTAGTATGCAGAGAAAATAACGAACAAAGAGCCTTTTATTTTGCACAATGAGAGGTGCAAATTTTAGAAGACTAAGATAGCATCTGAAAATTAGAACTTCAGGGAGAAATTAATGGATAAATCTGTTGTAATTTTTTCTTCCGCCACAAGTTTATTTTTATCTTTTCACGTTAGTTTCTTTCTTCTGTATTCTATCTATGTATTCTTTCAATTTTTTGTTAACGGCAAATGGGAAATCACAGTTTCTAGTAATGTAAAAAAATAAATCCTAAAATCAATTGATGAAATAATTCATATCCCTTTTTTGTATGTGACAGAATTTAAATTAATTGACCAAATTCTTTATTTGATCTTTCCTTTTAATTTATTTTAGTATTTTAACTCAATTGCACACTTTAATAGGGAAAGAATTAGAATGTTGGAATGTATTAGGGTGTTACAAAATTCTTATTAGACATGAAAGTAATTTAGAAGTCTATTTAAATGACTTTTTCCTTAAAAACTTTTGGGAGAAAAAAAAAATGAAAACAATGAGAGGAACTTTCCATGATTTAAGACTAACCTAAATATAGAATGCAAAATTAGACAGACTCTCTATGAGAGAATTTTACATTTTTTTTGTTATTTTTCTCTTGCAGAAATGCTTATGCGTAAACACGTCCAAAATAAGGTACGCAAGATAACTTGAACTCCTCGAGTTTTTCATTCACAAAAAGATATAGAAAGGTAGAAAATGATATTTAAAATTGTACCTCCTTCCAAACATTTTTCTTTTCATCCAATCTATAACATTCTATCTACTTAAGACAATGTATAGCAAATAATAAAATCATTTCTTATTTTTAATAATAACTTACTAGTCTAATATCAAATGTTTGCATCTTTGATAGTTTACTCTAATATCAACACTATCTACCACTAAAATATTATGTAAAAATGCATTCTTCCAAAAAGAAAATAAAGATGAAAAGTAATTATGATTTATATTTTAAAATATATGAAATGACTTAAATTCTTGTAATATGATAAAATCTTTTCAAATCTCACAATTTCATATTTATAAATCCTTTCAAACCCAAATTACAAAATTCTAACGATAAAAGTATTTTAAAGTAAAATAAAATCATTACCCTTTTACAAATCTTTTAAAATCCACATTATTTTTTAATGTAAAAAAGTCTTTTGAAATCTCAATTGAATACTCCTTCGAATGAACGACTCTTTAAATCATTCTTCACAAAATCAGAGTTTCAATCCCAACAAGGTAACCTGAAGCAATGGAAAAGACTTATCATAAAAACTAGATCGCTTTTACACTCATATTTAGAGCAATGAAGGTCCAAATAAAGCAAAGTAGAGATCATTTCCCTTTCTTCAAAGAATCCCAAAGCACAGCAAGATCAACATTGCCTCCTGAAAGTACTATTCCTATGTGGTTGCATTCCTTCCAAGAAGGATTATTCTGGAAGGTATCGGATAGAACAGCAGCAAGGCCAATTGCTCCACTTGGTTCTACAACAACCTTAAGAATTTCAAAACACAGTTTCATAGCTTTGATTATTTCACTGTCTTCAACAGTTATAATGTCCTCAACAAGATCTCGTACTACAGGCCTGTTCCATCATAAAATGGTAACAAGCACAACAAATCAAGAGAGTTCCTCTGTAAAATAATAGTAAATTGAAGAAAATTTATGACAGAGAACAAAAAAGGAGCCAAAACTTTATTTTCAGTTTACTATCTTAATTACTAAAGAATTTTTTACCAAGTGAAATCTCCAAGAAATGCTCGAAGACCGTCAGCTATAGTATCTGTCTCAGGCAATCTTATTATCCTCCCAGCTGCTTTAGATTGGGCGGCATCATCAGCTCCTTTAGGTTCAGCAGCTAAAATACGAATAGCTGGGTTGACAGACTTGGCAGCCAATGCTATTCCAGATATCAAACCACCACCTGCATTTTCATTAGTTGACAAACCAAGAAGCAGATGTTCAAATTAATGCAAATTTTACAGCATTTGGTTGACAGCTTGACTGTAAAAAAGTGAACAAACCACTTATGGGTACCACTAGCGTATCTAAATGTGGGGCTTGCTCCAGAATCTCCAGGGATATGGTACCCTGGCCACTGCAACAACAATGCAATATGTTAGAAGTGCAACTGTTTGCAAGTCACAAGTTCCTAAAGCATGAGCCTACGTAATATATCAAGTTTCTTATGTTGAATGGAACAGATTTATCTAACAGCTTAGCAATCATTCAGAAGTGAGGTGAGAAATAAAAATAACGACAAAAGAATATCAGAAGAGATGCTCAAGTGTCAATGAATTATAGCTAGGCCTGTAGAAATAAATAAAGCTCAAAGCAGCACTTAGGTTGCATTTGGCCCAGATTTTTATGGATTTTCTTTAAAAAGAACAAGTTAGTTCAAACACAAATCCAGAGAAGCGATAACTGAAAGAAGACAAGAAAAAAAAACTTCAATACAAAGATGCCAATTGAAGGAGCTTCTTCTTTTAAGAACTGGAAAAAGATTGGCCAAATGGTACATGATCTAATTGGTAAATTCCTATGAAAAGAATGGGTACACTCCCAGTTTATCCCCCAAAAGAGTTGAATGGCAGGGCATCTAGACAGAAACAAATTATACAATCATCAACATTGTACTTGTACCTTAATATGCGTCCATCATTATACGGATGTATAAAGATAGCACCAGTTTCTTGCCACACTTTGTTTGCAACTTCTTCCCTGGATTGAACAGAGGGCTCAGACCAGACAATCTGACCACCATACCGCTTTACATTCTCAACTTTGCAAGTTGGGGCATTTTTTGGAATAACAATATATGAAGGGATCCCCCGTAGTTTAGCGGCCAAAGCCAATGCTGCAGCATGGTTTCCACTGATTTTGTAGAACACGATCAGAAGAGCTAGACAGATTCTGATTAGAAAAAAGAAATCTATGTTTACTATCAAACCTGCTGTGTGTTACAACCCCTTTAGAAGCATCTTCATCATTGAGAGAGAACACAGCATTGCAGGCACCTCTAAATTTAAAAGCTCCCCTGATGGCCATGGAATACAAGAGAAAGTATGTCATCATCTTTTCTTCTTCACTTATACAAAATTAAGAGGGATTGTAAAGTACACCATTAACTCCGAAAAAAAATAAAAAATAAAATCCAAAATTCTGTGCAATTCATAAAATATCCACTTCTCACCCCTTTTGTAAACATTCACACTTAAAGTAGAGCTGCCTTCCTGACAAAACATTCAGCGAGGTGGAGGACAGAAGCGGAGTTTTATGAACCAATGATTTGATTCGATCTTGTGCTTCTCTTATGGAGGAAATATCAGCAGCATATTTTCCTTTTGTTATTTTGCCCTCTTCTTCCATCTAAGTAACTGGTCTCTGAAAGTCAACAAAGACAGATCAGTGTGAACTTCTATCCTTGTTAGAAACAGAGTTTAACACCAACCCATCAATGCTCGCCTTTCCCAGTGAAAGTGAGTTAACTATCCAAACAAACAGTCAAGCACACCATCAAACAGTTGTAGCAATGTGTCCCACTATTACCAAACAACATCATTTCCATATATTGTAGGTAACTCGACATATTAACCTCCATTTGAGTGAGTTACAGTGTCAAAAAAGTTACAAATGCTAGAGACCCAGCTCATCTAAATTTTTCTAAACCTATTGATCTCAAATCTGTACGAAAAAAAGAGGAGATTAAACTCAATACCAGATAATTTTCTTATGATCTCTCAAACTAAAAATTTCCATAATAGAGTGGGGCAATTGAAGTGTGGGGAAAATTGGTACAAACATGGATGAAAAACACTGGTACATCGTTGAATGTTTATAAGAATCTGACAAGGGGAATCTTTTATGTTTGAAAAGTGAAGCACTAGAATCTTCAGAAAAGAGATTCTGAAACTGAAATGAAAAGAGAAAAGAGGTTCGAAATCCGAAACTTACTATCGAGCAGTTCTGGTTGGTGGCTCTCCTGCTCCTCCTCATTCTCATTTCCACTTCCCAACCTTTTAATATCTCCGCCCAAATATTTTTGCGTCATTTGCTATTTTTTGTTTTATTTTCTTTTTAAAATTTTCAAGACATTAATCACATGCTTGAGTCTGTTTTAAATTTGGGTAGAATAAGTGATTCTTTTCATTTTGGCTCCTGTAAATATTTTGTAGAATTTAAAATCAATGTTTTGAAATTTTATAGAAAGAGTGAAGTTTTAGGTTAAGATTTTGTAATTTTATTTTCTCAAAACATTCTTTTAAGAAAGATAAATAATATTTAGTTTAATAGTCTTCAAAAAAAAAAATCCTAGGTTGACATTGTATCATAGACATTTTTTATATGAGTTTTATATGTATTACATCATGTAAAAGTGAAAGCGTCTAGTAATGATAAAAAAAATTAATAAAAGTTCAGAAAAAATTAATTTAATAAAAAATCAAAGACTCATATGGAACTAGTGAAAATACTTCTAAGGAGTAGCTTGTTGAGCAATGAGTATGATCAATTGACAAGCTTAAGTTTTTGAAATTTCTACACTTTATCTATGCTTGTTAAGGAAGAGATTTTGCTATGAAATCTAGTGAACTGATATTTTAAAAAGAAAATATGTGTGGGAGGCTAGTATAGTCAAGTCATTAACTATAACTTATGGAAAATATGTTTGAGAGGTAAAGTAGAGTCAAACCATTAGTTATAATCTACCAATAATATATGTGATAGGCGAGTAAAGTCACATTAATATCCATAATCTATCAAGATTGTTGATTAAAAGTATATGTGATGTGAATGTAGTTTTTTTTAGAGAGGAAATATTATCTTGTGCATGATTTTATGATGCATATTGAATATGAATTTCTTGACAAAATTGTCATAACTCTATTATTTACTACTCTCTTATAGAGAAAGATATTTAAGTGATGAAAGTTGATAAAAACTAAAATAAATTATATTAATTATAAATATTTAATATAATTTATTGTGAATGATTGGATGTAATGTGAAAGGATAATTTATTCTCTC